CTTCCAGTCAAAGCTAAGGTAGATATTTGTTCTTGTGCGTAACGTATATGATGGGTCGGATGGCGCAGTGGATAGTGCGCTCTACTACACCAAGATGGCCGGATTCTATCCCGGTCATATGCCCGACCATGCGGGTTTTCTCTGGATACCCCAGCTTCCTCCCATATTAAGAATTAAACCCTCTGCGTACTTCTCTCAGGACACAAAAAGAATGATTGAGATAACTTGGGTAAAAAACTGTTTGGTAATTGCTATAGAACAAAGTGCATATTATATATTTGACGATTAGTCTAAGTAAATGCCTGAGATGTTAGTTAAGAAAATGAAATTTATAAAAGAAAACATTTTAATACTTTGGTGTAACTGAAAGTGTCTTTATATCGATATGTAGTCTTAATTACTGTTCCATCCTGAAACACCGGATTGAATTTCAAATTTTGTAACTGTCACCGAGGCTTGACAGGTAATGATGCCATTAAGATTACAGTTTTTGTCTGTAACTAGTTATAAATTGGCACGCGTTGTAAAAAAGTAATACGTTGCTGAAAAAGGGCGTTGCACTTGGGTTGGTTGTCTGGAAAATTATCGTTAATTTCGTCATAAATGCATTTTCATTGCTCCTTTTATGAGTGGTGATGCATAAATAATGTAAAGACTATATCCAGAGTTCTAAAAGTGTCAATTATTTCGTTCATATTCTCAACAAATGGAAATCAAAAGCTGATGAAATTTTAAATGATCTCTTTTTGAAGATATCTCCCGGTAGAAATATCAACAGAACCGGGTTGATGACAAAAAGGATCTTCAGAAAATATCCGCATTTTCAGGTCACCTGAGCGTTGCTCAAGTGACCAATTCTAATCGCTTTCCGTCCGTCGTCGTGCGTCGTCCGTCGTGCGTAAACTTTTTACATTTTCAACTTCTTCTCAAGAACCGGTGGATGGATATAATTCAAACTTGGTCAGAATCATCCTTGGTACATGAGGCTACGAAATTGTAAAATTGAGATTCCTACCCTAACCGCGGGGGCCAGGGCGGGGCCCTAAAGGGAAAATTAACCAATATTTCAAAAATCTTCTTCTCCAGACTCAGAGGTACTACAGTGATTTTCTCTGCATGGACAAAAAGATCATCAGGGGCATTATTTAAATTGTAAATTTCAGGACCCCCGAGCTATCCGTTCTCCCTTGGGGAGGGGGTTAAGTTTACTATAGTTTATATAGGGAAATAACACTTTTGGGTATATTTTGACAACTTTCTGTAGGAAATTATTTTTACTTGGTGAGAATTATCTTCGGAGGAAGATGGTTTTAAATTGTAAAATTGGGATATATACCCCAACCCCTGGGGCCAGGGCGGGGCCCCAAGGGGAAAATTAACCAATATTTCAAACATCTTCTTCTCCAGACTCAGAGGTACTACATTCAATTTCAGTGCATAAAAATAAAGATCATCAGGGGCTTTTTTTAAATCGTAAATTTCAGAACCCCCGAGCTATCCGTTCTCCTTTGGGGAGGGGGTAAAGTTTACTATAGTTTATATAGGGAAATAACACTTTTGTTTTTTTCCATTATTTTAAGCAGATAATTACTCAAACTTAGTCAGAATCATCTTTGGTGAATGAGGGTATTCCATTGTAAAATTAAGATTCCTACCCGATCTCCAGGGGCTAGGGCGGGGCCACAAAGGGAACATTTACCAATATTTTCATTTTTTTATCCTTTGATGACATTACAAGTATTGTATTTCACTTAGTTTACCTGCTGATTTCCACATCACATCTAAACAATAAAATAAAGCTACCAGTACCTATAATATAACTCAGGTGACCGCTAAGGCCCCTGGGCCTCTTGTTACTTTTTGTGCCTGTGGAAAAAAACTGTAATAAAAAAGTCTTGAAGCACCGAAAAAAACATAAATTCCGGTTATTTTTCATCCTTCTGGAAATAACTGATGAAGGCCGATGGATTGTGACGTGTTTGTGACGTCATAGTACGATAATATCTGAACGAAGTTTCAAGCCTGTTAGTATCACATTTTATGTGATACACTTTTTTCAATCAGAATGTATATTTTTTTCATCTAAATTAACAAGTAATATAACATGAAGATTGTTTTCACTATATGAAGATATTCATGTATAGATTGAAACACAAATGTCTTTGCTTCAAGGATACACCTTCTGTTTCCCCACTGGACGTCTTCTTCCGGACGAAAAAACATTAAAGGCAACGTGTAGCAAGGGAAAGCATGTGTTACCATTAAAGAGCTTTGCGCCCGAGAGATACGCTCTTATTATGTTTATACATATAGTTATATATGGACATTGTATAAATGTTTGTTCCCCAAATTGTGTAAAGTGCCTTGATATAATGATAATAAACATGGTTTGTAAAACATCACGCCAGTATGCAGAACAAACTGTTTAAAGCGTTTGGTTTCATGGTACAATGTATGTTTGTACCTTGCTGTCTTCAACAAAGGAATGTTCACTACTTTGTGTGTTGAAATGCCAGGTTAAAAAACAACGAGTAGCGATATAGTCAAGTTTTTGTCTCTTAGCATTTTGAATTCATTCAGATTTGTTTTAACTCATGAAAAAAATAAGTTGGTGATGCATTTAGCGACTGGTAGACAATCTACAAGATAGACGGTGCTGTTTAATCTACCGTCCACTAAATTACGTTTTTAAAATATTCTATACCTACCAAAGTAACTCTTACTCAATTGAGTTACCAGAATACAAAATTTTTGACATGTTCAAGTTAACATTTGACAAACACATTCGTCGACGAAACAATTTTCGCCCATTGAACCTGCAAACACATTTTCCAGGTACACAAATCGTCTTTCTTCAATAAAACCATCCATTTATTAGCTCGCCTATTCGAAGAATAAGGGGGCTAATGTAGTCACCCCGGCGTCGGCGTCGGTGTCCCACCTTCCGAGGTTAAAGTTTTGGTGCAAGTTTTTTCCAGACAGTGTTGGATCATCACACTCAATACACAGTTGTCTATTATGAGTTAAGTCATTTATATCGAGTGTAAGCAATGTGCTGGACCATATTTTCTTATTTTATGGCCCAAAACAACTTAGTTAAATTTGAGGTTAAAGTTTTTGGGCAAGTTTTTTTGTGAAGTGTTGGACAACCAACATCAATAGGCTGTTTTCTATTATAAGGTTGAAGGTTGAAGCATTTATATGGAGTGTTAGCAATGTTCTGGGCAATATTTTCATATTTAAGGCCCTAAAACAGCTTAATTGGACTTAGTTAAATTTGAGGTTAAAGTTTTTGGGCAAGTGTTTTTCCAGACAGTGTTGGACAACCACCATCAATAGGCTGTTGTCTATTATAAGGTTGAAGCATTTATATGCAGTGTTAGCAATGTTCTGGGCAATATTTTCATATTTTATGGCCCAAAAACATCTTAATTGGACTTAGTTCAATTTGAGGTTTAAGTTTTTGGGCAAGTTTTTTCCAGATAGTGTTGGATCATCACACTCAATACACAGTTATCTATTATGAGTTTAAGGCATTTATATGGAGTGTAAGCAATGTGCTGGACCATATTTTCTTATTTTATGGCCAAAAAACAGCTTTATTGGACTTAGTTGAAATTGAGGTTTAAGTTTTTGGGCAAGTGTTTTGGTGAAGTGTTGAACAACCACCATCAATAGGCTGTTGTCTATTATAAGGTTGAAGCATTTATATGGAGTGTTAGCAATGTTCTGGGCAATATTTTCATATTTTATGGCCCAAAAACAGCTAAGTTGGACTTTGTTAATTTCTTAACAATCACTTCACATAGATGTTTCTACACATTTAAAAGTCTTTGAAATATCCTGGTGGTAAGTGAGGTGGCAAATAAAATGACAAGCACTATACCAACGTTTTACTATACATGTGTTTCTATTGATGCAGTATAATGATAACATACATGTACATAGGCGAGCTATGCTGTTCTCCGACAGCTCTTGTTAACAATAGATGTAAGTGTACCAGTAAAATATATCATGTGGTTTCCTTCCCATTATTTTGATTCTGACTTTAAGAATGAGACATTAAATAAATTTGACCTAAATGAACATGGCGGTTGTCGTCGATAAAGCAATACATGTTTACCTTTTGGTATTTATTTCCTTATTCATTTTCAAGGATCTCCTTATGATTGCTTTTTTCCTGGTTTTAACGAATTTTAATTCAAATTAAAAATTTGTTTGTGTTTTAATATTTTTTAAATACATGTATAAGGTTGCCATATAAAATGGTCGACCACTGATTAAACAATATTTCCCAAATCTCCGTAAGTTACGAGATAAAACCTCAGGAAAATGAGGAAGTGACACCATTGGTCGGAAGACAAGAATGTCCCTTTTTGCCGTTTTATGGTAATAAGCTAATGACATTTTGATATCGGTCTTCACGAAAAATATTAATATGAGGCTGAATAGAAATCTTTCCTTAGATAAACCGTTTAGTGTTAAGCGTTGATTTGATTATGATGGAAGACATAGAGAGAACATTGTATTCAATCTAATAATGATCAATGTACATGAAGAAAACAATGTTCATTGCGTGTTTTCTATAATTTTTGTTGAGGTCGTTGAAAGTTTATTGTGTTTACAAAAAGTGATAATATAGCACTCGTTTTGACATTATACATTGTTCTCATTAATGAGGGTTGCTGGCAGAAGTAGACCGCTATCTGTCAACTTTGAGTCGGCTATTTTTTTTCGGAAAAAACTATAGTTCAGGTCAATATAATACCGTATAAATCATTCAAGTCTACCCACTATTTCAAAACTAAGTCAAAACACCAATACATAAAAAATGATTTCAGAGGTCTTTTTATAGTTTTTGATCTATTTTCCTATTGTTTCCATGTTCACAAAGATTGTACCTGTATTCCTCATCTGGTTTTACCCTTTATGACATCACGGTCATATCCAATGTAATGCATTGAGTAATAGCTGGCATCAAGTTTCATTTGATTTGGCAGATAACATCTCTATTCGCAAAAGTGTAGCAACAAGCAGCAACCAAGACGCAGCTAAATGGCCGGCGAGAGCAGCGGTGGACGGTGATATAAGACAAGAAATAACATACTGCGCACACACACTTGCCGAAAATCAACTTACTGCCTGGTGGAGGGTTGACATGGGGCAGCGAATGACAATCAACAATATCAAAATATATTATAGGGGTATGTTGATGTGTATACTTCTATGTATTTTAGCTGAAGCATCCGTTTAGTATATATTGGTATGTTTGTAGCTGTATAAATTGATATTTGCAAGAGGACAGATAAAACATTCTAAATGTGAATTCAAAAAATATATTTCTTGATAATTTTCTATAAACAATGTTTTGTAAAATATTTGTTATATTGTTTCTTGCTAGAAGTATCTCTAGCATGATTTCATTTTGCTATTAAGTTCATAATCTCTTTGATGCAGGCAAGAAGCATTCATTTCAAATAATGAAATATTACCGTTAACACAAATCAATTTTAATACTTATTCTTATTTTTTTTGACATCATGATATATATTCATTTGTATATCCCTCGAGTCAGAACATATGTGATAGCATTTCAATGGTGATAGCTTTATGGTTTGTTTTCAGGTGTATATCAACACTTCCCAAAATATTATCAAAATACAAAACAATAGATTCTGTTTCAAGCTACATGGTTCTTTCTTTCTCGTTATTGGATACATTTTCTTGAAAATCATTATGCACGTAGCCTACTTTATCCGTTAATCAACATGGTGTTCAAACTAACATAGTTCTTTGTGTTTGCGACTTCAGGCAAATACTTATACATTGCTGATATGCTTAAAGCAGGTGACATTTTTATGCACCCGCCATAAAATGCGGGGGGGGGGGGGGGGCATATAGTGTTGCCAATGCCTGTCCCGTCACGTCACGTCGCGTCCCGCCCCGTCCCGATTCAATTTGAACACTGAGCAAGTTCATTCTTTGACAGATTTTAGTCAAACTTTACACAAAGGTTAAGTATGAATATACTTCGGATATCGTTGTGTTTCAGGGGTCCAAGGTGGTCAAGGCCAATGTCACACTTGCTAAATATAGAAAATCATCAACTGATTCAATTTAAACACTTAGAAACTTTATTCTTTCATGGATTTTGGTCAAACTTTATGCAAAGGTCAAGTATGAGTATACTTCGGACATTGTTGTGTTTCACGGTCAATGCCAAGGTCACTGTTGCTATTTATATCAACTTTAAATGTAGTACCTTGTGTGTGTGCATGTTTCAGGGTATCAAGATCAGAGTTATTGTAACTTTTTATAGAACACTGAAACTAATTTCACATGGCAGTGGGGGCATTTATATCTTACAGACATTTTCGAGTATTTTAAATCAGACGAAAATATCATATGTGTTGTAACTATTATAACACTCTGGTTTAATTGGAATTGGAATTCAGTTAATCGTATAGGTCGCTGTGTTAAGATGTTCCAAAGCGCAGCTTTTGAGCCAAGCCCTACCCCCAATTTCTGTCTTTTTGTTGGTTGATTAGTCTAGCGGTGTTCTACTGGTTACTTCTTCCGGTTATTTGTTTAATCTGGCGTTCATGCAGGGTTTCCCCAGCCAACCCAACCAGCCTGCAAGTGGTTTGGCGATCCAGAATCCCGGCAATCCCTTTCGGCTAGGATTCCTGCTCCAAACTCAGTCATGCCAATCTGGTCAACCGTTCGGTCACTCCCAACCCATGGGACCCCCCTCCAGCCCTCAGGGATTTTTATTTGACCTTGCGGTTTCACTCTGAGGAATCTGCGAGGCATGGTATCGCCCTCACAGCAGTGATGCAGCAAGTTGATGGTTCCCCCTCCCAAAACGATATACCTGCTCGGGTGCTGCTATGGCCTGCATAACCAGGCACCACTTAGCCCTCTGGTGCATCATTATCCCACTTCGCGCATGACAGGAACCTGTTTGAGGGCACTGTGCGTGTCATCTGCACCGGCCGCCACTATGTTGCGTGTTACGGAGAAAAAATCTGGATGGCTGACTTATCGGAGGTAAAACTATTGACGATGGGCAGTTTGCCCCTGATCAAGGTGAACTGGAGTCGAAGGACTTGTTTCCCTTGCAAAGGAAGATGAGGGACCAGGTGGTGTTCCAGACTAAGGAACAATACAAGGTTGAGAGAGTGTTGCGCCTCTCCCTTCACGTCTTTCGTTTCGTTGACGACTTTACAGTCTTCTTATAAGGCTCTTTAACCTGCTTGAGGATTTGAAATCAAGATCCTAACTTGCTTCTTCTTTGCGTACCCTGTTGTCAGATGACATGGAAAATATTTATTAATAATCAGGAAAAAAGGGTCATTTAGTTCTTTATTAATTGAAGGAAAGGATAATTCATTTACAACAATGTCGTATTTTGATGTAACCACTCTCCAATAATCTGACAAATTTAGGAATTTTCAATTTTGTTTACGATTTTTTTTTATTTCAAAGCAGATTCCTTCAAACCCATTTAATTACCTTTGTTCCAAAACAGTTATTTACTTTTCCACATACAACGGTAAGCAAATACCTTTCCGAAATCAGTATGGTTTACCACACAGGATATAGTCACTGACATATGTGTGTCACCTGTGACACTTTCTACTAAGATCTAAATGATCCCAGCAAAAGATAAGACATTTCAGTGCTAAACTTTGACCATTAACAATTTTTTAATTTGAAGTATGATACTTTCCTTAGTATTACCAATATTTTGTACCACCGGTTATGTAATGGAAGATATTAAAACAGGATAATAGAGCACTGAAAGCTATCACCAATAACGTTCGTTCACGTATTTCCCCTCTCTCTCTCTCTAGGTTACGTACCTTCTAGAAAACCTCTATTACAATGATTCACCTCGGGTGGTACCGACCGGCTATACCGACTCATGGACTATATGTTTCGTTTTTATGCAGCGAATTTTAAAAACAGATTTGCTGGTTACCAGATATTTGTGTCAAACACTACTGACTTGAACAATGGCCAGCTGTGCTATGAAGACGCAAGTTCTACAATTGAAGAAGTATCAACTGTAAAATCTCATCAATGTCAATATGTAGCTCAGTATGTGACTATTTACAACTATAGAAACACTCCAACGCGCCATGGCTTTTATTGGCAATGGGCTGTTTTAGAGCTATGTGAGGTTCAAGTTTTAGGTGAGTAAGAACATTGTTTCAATATTAGAAATAAATTCATATGTACATACCCATTTTTGAATTCGTACATCTTCAATGTGACATGTCACATGTCCTACGTTCTTAAGTCATTATTCAAAAATGTAAAAACTTAAATTCTGTTGATGTATCAAAGTTGTAAATAAATTAATAGTCATTGTAGTTCCCGTTGCATACTTAATGATAAACTTTTACACTAAAAAATATGTTCCAAAACGACTACATGCTTCCCCTCGGCATAAGCTTTTCTTTTTGTTTAGGGTGTCCAGTTGGAATGTACGGAGAAGGCGATTGTAATCAGAAATGTCCGGAGGATTGCTATGGAGGAAATTGCAACGCCATTAATGCATCATGTTTCTGTAAGTGATTCTTGAATATATCCCATTTTAAATCCGACTGCAAATGTATGAAAATTATGTAAATGTGGCAAATATTAAGCAGAAAAGCCTTTAACAAAAATGGTATTAAAGCTGGTTGATATAAATATTAGGCACCAACTGTACCAAATTATATTGAATTAATAAACGAGAAGCGCACAAGCTTCAATATAATAGTATCCATTTTGACATTTATGCAATGAGGTATATAGACATATTGTCTAGCCTACTTTCTTCCGATTGAAATATGGTATCGGTGTCGTCGAAAACAAATTCTTATTATTATATATTAGTATTTGTGATTTTCCTGGGACGACTCTTTCTTGAAGTAAAATATGATATGATGTATTTGTCAGACTATACGTCGTTAATCGACAAAAAATATTTCACTACGAAGATGAAAGAGATAGTAGTGATTAAAAGTCATGCTTCAATGAAAATCAAATTTATTTTAACAGATTTTCTAAATTGACCTCATTTTCAAAAGTAATACTAAAGAAAAGTAAAACAAAAGACTTTCCGTGTTATTGTGTCGATGTCTTTATTATTTGTGTTTCAGACTGTTATCCAGGGAAACACGGCGACAGATGTAAGCAAGATTGCGTTGCCAACTGTAAAGACAACATATGCGAAAAGGACTCCGGAATATGCACTGGTAGGGACTTTGATGCAATGTACCCGACATATATTGCCATGTTTCCCCTTTCATAAAGAGAGAGTGTTTGAGATAAAACAATACTGTTGTGAAGAGTGAACACACAGAAACCTTCGTACTAGGTAATAAAGATGACCATTTATAAACGTTAAAAAGGTGGTCAATTAATTGTATTTTTGTCGGAGAAGTGAAAATTTCAGGTAGCAAATGTGACAATTAACGGCGAATCAGTTATAGGTAGGTGAAGGTTCGATGCTTTTAAGTAGACTAATAAATAGTGTTTTGTTTGGTTTATGTAAGTGGCGTAATATCAGATGTTTTTTTATAGTACGATAAGTGGTAGGACTAAATATATGTGTCAGATGAACAAGTTACAGAACTTTAAAAGTGTGTCAAATAAATCAGTTTCAAAACTGTAGAATTGTGTCAGTGCGAGACATAATCCTATGATGTTTTACTTATCCATACAAACTAATGATTTGCGTCATGTGAACTGATTGATCAATGAAACGAATTTGTTAATCTGAAAAAAATGATGTTACAGTCATGTTTTATTGTTTTATTTTATTCTATTTACCTATTCATGTATTGATCTATTTTTCTATATTATTTCAAACACAAATATACACAGATAAATTAGTAAATGATATGTCTGTCATTTCAGACTGCATTCCAAGAAAATATGGAGATTTCTGTAATGAAGATTGCTCCGGGAATTGTAACGACAGCAGGTGTTACCAACACACCGGACATTGTAAAGGTAACAATAGGCAACCGACCTTTGATGGAGGTGGATGCTACATGTATATAAATACAATAGTAGATCAATTGCATGGTACATAATTAAGTGTCCATGTCACTCTTATGATATAATGACTTGGCTTCTCAGTTTCTTAAAGCATAAAAAAATGTATATCAATGAATGAAAAAATAAGTACACGACGTCAACAAAACGCAATAATGTTAAGTATCCTCGTCTACCACTCCAAAAAAACTGTGCCTATACGCATTGTAAACTGATTTACCCCTAAAACATAACCAAAGCTTTGATACATCATAACTGAAAAGGAAACTTTACCTTCCGGGACTTTTATGGAAAAATAACCAAGATGAAATAAACAAAGCATAACCATCATCAGTGTTCTGAGGGTAAACATGCTGCAGTGCTGGACAGGGATTTGACCCTTGATCTCAGGATGTTATACTGTCGCTCTAACCGACTAATCTACAAGTGAATACATGTGTCCTGGCCTAACTCAGCTACATATATATCCAAAAACAAAATTAATGGTATGTTACTGTGTATACCAAAATCCACAGTAGAACAGGGATCTTAAAGCAATAAAAACGATTAAGAAGTACAATGGATCCTATTGTACAATTGTTTTAACTAAATTCTATGAAGTCGTTGATGGAAAATATTTGTATATTCAATCAACAACTTTCTCCATGACAACACGGTCAATTTATGAAAGCGTGTTAGTTTCCCACAGCGATCCTTAAAAATAGTTTCTTAGTAAGATAATTGTGTTGTAAATTAGACCATCTAAATATTAATTACGAGGTGTTGTCAAAATAAATATCATGATTCACTCCCTTAATTCAAAGTAATCTACTAGCTATTAAGAAAGACCCGAGACACCAAATCTCGTACTTTTACTAATGTTATTTTTCAGGATGCGTTTTTGGAAGGTACGGTGACGTGTGTGAACTGTTTTGCTCAAACAACTGTAGAGACAAAACATGTCTACAGGACAGTGGAAACTGTATAGGTGAGTAAAGTTTACTGGCTAAACCAAACAACATATTTCATATAACATGTAAATGTATCGACACTAGAAAATACACGCAATATGTATTAACACCAAACGGTAAACACAATTTGTATACATCAACACTACACGATACACATTATATCTATAAATATATATCAACACTTCATGGTACACATTATATGTAATATCAAAGCTACACGGTACACATAATATGTATATATCAACACTACAGGGTACACTTTATATGAATACATATATATCAACACAACAAGGTACACATATAAGGTATTATTATTTTTGATATCATTTCCGACAAGTGATTGACCAGAAGTGCATCACGTGTTCACCGATAAAAAGTGATATTGACTTGGATAGCGTGATTTTTGTTGAAGGACTAAAAATAGAATTATGACGTATCTCCAAACGAACGCACCATCCCGCCTTTTTTGTTGTGGTTTTCTTCAGATTGCTTACATTACTGTTTTAAAAATATTAAAACAAGTGTAGCTTTTAACTTCGGTCGATACCTGGATTGATCGATCCAAGAAAAGATATATTGACTTCGGTCGCAATACCTGGATTGTTCGACCCGAGAAAAGATATATTAACCTTGGACTGCGTCCTCGGTTAGTTTATCTTTTTCCGGGTTGATAAATCCAGATATCGACCTCAGTCAAAGGCTATAATTGAATAATATCAACACTACCTGGTACACATAATATATATATATCAGCACTTCATGGTACACATAATATATATATATATATTAACACTACACGGTACATTCACGGTACATGCCATGTATACGTATGTTGTATATATCATCGCTACACGTTACATATATTGTATAAATCAACACTACATGATATACATGTGTATATATCATCACTACAAGGAACATAAATTGCGTATACCAACACTACACGATAACATAATATGTATATATCAATTTATCAACACTACACGGTACACACAATGTGTATATATCAACAATATACAGTACATTTGATATATATATCAACACTACACGGTAGACATACTATGTAGATATCATCGATGTCGTCTAAATCCAACAACAATTATATTACACCTCATTCCGTCATCATGGGTTAATTGCTTTCCGCCAATATTGTACCTCTGCCATTTTTTTTGTCAACAGCCCGTATGCATGTAAACAAAGACAGTGTAATGAAAAAGTGAAAACATTCTTTTCTAAAATATTACTAATTTAGGTGTAATAAATAGACTGGTTATATTATGCAATGGTTTTGTTTTAGAATGTGTTCGTGGGAAAAAAGGTATACATTGTGCTGAAGATTGTCCAAGAAACTGCGTTACATGTACGCAAGTAGATGGAAAATGTACAGGTAAATGCACTTCTATTTAATATGATTTCACATTTGGTTGACAAATATCGTCCTTTTAACCTAAATGATTTCATTGCAAACTTTATATTACATTCACCTGGTAAACAAATTATTAGATATTTTTCAGAATATGATAAAGTGTTAACGTCCTATAAGCTATTTACGAATTGCGTGTAATCGTTTGCGAGCGAAAATAACATCTCGTTACGTCATGCATTCTGCTTGAGTGAACGTCCTTATCTTGAACATTGAAAACCAATTACAATCGCGTAAGGTTATATATCTGTACGAAATATTGCATGAACATATTTAAAACATTTTCCTCTCTTGTTTCCCTGCCTCTTTTAATCTCCCTATCCGCATGTTGTACCTGTTGTCAGAGTGATGATAACGGTTGGTATAAAATACTATTCTATCATGATATTTCGGTGGGATTGCAATTTAAAACGCCCCCGTTATCTATGAACACCGTCGTAGCAAACTGAAAAATAGCCCTCATGTCGTTCTTGTCTGTTAGAAATGTATATCTAACTGCTGTAGAATATCCAATAAGGGAAGAAGAAATTCCTTTCTTTTTTAATGTTATCCATATATTCATTATGCAATTTTCACTGAATGTTGTTTCTTTAGAATGTGTTCAGGGTAAATACGGTACAAATTGTGAAAAGGATTGTAATGACAAATGTAAAGATAACCTGTGCACAAAGGACGATGGCAATTGTCTCGGTAAGTTATGCTTTTAATTTTCTTGCGATACAAATGTTGTGATGATCATATTTAAAACACGATAATTAAATACTTGTACTCATATCATTCAAACTAAGATCAGCTCATAGAAACACCAATACAGTTTTTTATCACTGCATTCGTAAACCATACCTTACAATGTCACGACCTGGAAAAAAGGAAAATTGCAACTTTCAAAAACTAAATGTATACATTTAGTGGTAAACTTACTCTACTGTTTTTTCGATTCTGAAATACAAATCAAACATTTTAAAATTATCATATTTAACGCGGCTTATTTGGGAATAATCTTTACACTTAAACCCTCACTAACAGTTTTTCTCGTTAAAAGTTACTTAATAGATTTTTCAGAATCATATGTATCCGTTGTTGTTTTTATATTTGTTATACTTCAGGCTATGCGTGAGCGCATTGATTCTTTGATCCAACCACGTTTTTACTACAAAAATAACTCATTTTTCAATAAAGATAACCCAGCAATGGTTAAAATTTACATAGTGTCTAATACACGATTTATTTTAAGGAAAATCAATATCCATAACAAACTGACAACTGCGAAGATGAAATATTTTAAACAACTAGACTAATATGCACATGTAAACTGTTTTTTTATCAGTGATATTCATATATTCAAGGTAAGAAAGAGCAATGTACAGACGGCTTTGAATACCATATCTACTGAAGATTTTCAAACCTTTTTCTTTTGTGACCGAGGGTAGAAAATAACATTTTAATAAATTCATCATATTCCATTTTAATCTTCGTATATGACTAGTATATGTCAAAAAGATACTTGATATTCAGGCTCATATCAATATCTACCAAGATAAAAAAAAATACTAAAGACACATTGATGTTTATAATTGGTTGATGATTACCTTGATAGTATATTACTAAAACATGTTCAATTTTAAATCAAATTTAAACGGAAAGCATCGATGATGTTATTATGCTTGGTATTTAAAGGATGTGTAGCAGGCAAACATGGTATTACCTGTCAAAAGGATTGTTCTGAATATTGTCAAAACACAATATGTGACCAAACAACAGCTCAATGCAAAAGTATTTTGTACTGTCATACCATTGTTATATTGATATATACATTGTCGGTTATCTCACTAATATAATAACTAAGCGCAAAGATAAAGTGTTAGACTTGCTTGTGTACAGACAATTCTTACAACCTAATTTTTAACCTACATTAATTGACCATTCTTGCTTACTGTTAAAGAGAAAGTTTAACAACTGTTACTCTTATTGTGAATCGGGTAATTATTGAAACGGTTATTTGTTACTTGTGGATTTTAATAGTTACGTGCGTTACATTATTTAATCACCATTGCTTCAAAGCTTATAAAAGTTGTGTTACCCATATAACGTAAAGCAATTATCGACAAGATAATGCCATATTTTAATTGAGCCCATTCGTCCATGCATGAATTGAGGGTTTCATTGTTTGATATTTTTTATCAAATCTTTATTAACTACATCATTTTCGTGTGACAGTTACAAGAAAAATCATTTCCGTTTCTCAGAATGTCAGCATGGATACCATGGTATGGACTGCACACTAGAATGTGAACCTACCTGTAAAATTTGCCAACGGGAAGACGGTGATTGTACAGGTAATTAAGTGTAATCAACACATATTATTTTTTTCAAACGAAATCATCATATTATCAATATTTATAAAAAGAATATATTAAAGATCGAAAGGAGGAGTGCCCAATATAATTATTGTAGCTATTCAGAAAAGCATCATGCTGTAGTTCCCTTTCTTTAAAGTCTCCTTTTAGATTTTGTTTGTTGTCTTAATACACTGACTTTTAATAAAGACGATGTCCATTGCTTTGACTTTAAAATAAAAGCTCAACTGCTGTATTAATACATTAGCAAAACTCAAGCTCGCCAATTATTTTCCGAAAAAACAACAGGTAAGTAATAATATACATGTTATAACAACAGAATGCTTGGATGGTTTATATGGTGGAAACTGCAGTCTGGCTTGTGTCAATTGTGAGCGGTGTTCGAGGGAAACTGGAAATTGCCTAACTACCTGCATGCCTGGATACGAAGGAGAATTTTGTCAAATGAGTAAGATGCTATTTTGTAGGTGACACTTGAATACGCTAGCATGTAAGCTATAAAACTAAATACGAATAATCTAATCACCATGTATAATATACAGCAGGGCAAAGATGTTCACAGCATAATTAACTTAATTGGAAATTTCGAAAATGCAATTTTGAGCAATGTCTGAAAATGTAAAACTACCTTACTTTTTTCTGATGATGATATATTTTGACGCTTGTATTTTCAGTTTGAATTTTTTTTTTTTTTTTATAAAACAATGAAAGTTTCGTGTAAAATGTTTTTCTTAACATGGCTAGTTTTGAACAATAGGACCCTTTTTTGCCGTAATGAATAAAAGGATTTTATCTTTAATGAAGCGAATATAACGATATGATCACGCTTATACAATTCTACGACCAGAATATGTTAATATGCAGAATGGTTACTGCATTATTATTGTGTTGGACTTCTGGAAAAGCTAATAGAGAACCGTGTTTTGCTTTGAAGTCATACAATCACCCCCAGAGGATGATTCTACTGGGACGACAGTTGGCATTGTTGTTGGATTGCTTCTCTTGGTATCTATTATAACCATTGGCGTTATATTCGTAATCAGGAGGTATGTATTGTCATTAATTCTTGAAAGATGGAAGGACGACACTCAATTAACTTCATATGTATCGTGATTATTTTCAATACTACATAATCCATGAAAGTTTTCACGTCTTGTGTCCTATAGACAGAAAAAGGAAAACGGTTAATGTGTGGAATTATGAGTTCATATAAACGAGTTTTATACTTGTGTTGGTCTTCGTTTGTACATGTAACTGCAGATAATTCATTGGATCATTTAATGTCTATGACAGGTTTACACTTTATGCCTACTTTTACATTGAAACCTATATTTACACTGATCTCCAGTTTTAACTTACATTTACACTGAAAACCGACATTAACACTGCAAACCTTCATTTTGAAAACCTTAATTAAGACTGTTTATCTACATTACTCTTATAAACTACATTATTACTATAACTTACCTCTAAACTGAAAACCTACATTTTAACTGTAAATATGTCAACAATACTAACCTCCACTACATTCTCAGCCTTCATTTTGAAAATAACTCTAATTACATCGTATGCCTTGCACTACTTACCTACATTTACACTGTTAACCTTTATTTATAACTGTAAACAAATATTAACACTTTAATTTTACATTACAATATCAACCAGAATTTTCCAAATCTAAATGTATATAGTAGATTACATTTACACTGTAAACCTACATTAATACTGTTTACTTTCATTTACAATATAAATGTACATTACACTGTAAACCTGCATTAGTTTGAATTACGACAATGGCATGTTGTCTGGTAACTAAAGAAGCCGGATTATACTGTTTTTATTGTATTTACTAGTTTGTGAACAAATGTGTCCGGTTATGAATTCTAGACGCAGACAGAACCCTTTGAAGAAAGAAGGTCCATTTGATGACTTCGGCAGGCAAGAGGTGTCTCGATCATCACGGCTCAACAATGGCTATGGTAATATCATAATGTCAGACGAGGTATTCTTTCAACTGCAAGTTTAAGGTTGATCTTTTTCTGGTGGAAAAAACGGGTTTTTTATTTGGTCATTACAATTTGTTATTTATTTTAGAGTCAGATGAACGCACATCAGAACCATTAGCGAACCTCGATAACGTTTACGTCAATTCTGGGAATGTAAACAAAACGACAGACACATACGAAGAGGTGTACTGTAATTCTGGTTTTGAGGGTATCGCTATTAGCGACCTGACATCGTTGGTGAAAACAAAGATGTTAAACAAAGCAAAAGCGTTTGAAGATGAATACAAGGTATATATTGTGTACCAAATTCTTTGTTAAATTGATTTAAACATCATATGACCACACACGTTTTCTAATTAAAATTAGTAAATAAAGAAAAAAATATTTTGCAAATATAGTAAGATAATGATAAGCCTTGTTCTCGAGTAGTTAGTTTTCATTTTATAAAGGTTGAGTATATCGATAAAATGTTGAAGAATATCACACGCGTCGTTATTATATCCTCGAAATTCCAGAGATTACGCTCCATGAAGTTCTCTGCACCAATGGATTATTCCATGACAAAATTGAAGGTGTGTGATTAGTGATATCATAGTTTCATGTAGATACCTGTCCGTTGAAGATTACAGAGGAGCAACATCCGACTTCAAAGACACTCAATCGTACCGTTATGTTGCCATTCCTTAGATGCGCGCTAAAATCTCGAACAATTCAACTTGTATCATCCTCGAAGAAGTGCGTACAGAGCCTTCAATTTTGTCATGACAGATTTTAGGGTGAAGAACATATACGTGTAAATGTATCTGGAATTAAAGGTGGTCCTTATCTGATGTCGTAGTTATCTCGATATGTTTAGTATAGCATGACTATAATTAAAGTGTGTGTGTGTATTACCTCTAAGTATGCGTCTTAGTCACTTCGTAGGTCATATGTTGCCTTGCATTTGGATATGTATTTAACACCAACAGTTTATAAAATATAACATTTTGTATTCAGTTAACAGTAATATATTTTCATTTGCATGCTTTGTACAGTCGCTACCATTAGCGGACTTGTATGAACATAAAGTTGGGATGATGACCGAAAACAAACCAAAAAACAGATTTAAGTCCACGTTTCCATGTAAGTAACACTCCAGACACACATAATTTCATACAAGTTCCTATACTATCGTACTTCAGCTGTGTACCAGCCGGATTCGATTGAATTGATATAATGACGGGTTATTAATCGTCGTATTTTCTCTCGTTCTCGAGTTTACCGGTCATGACTCCCTCATTTGAGTCCAATAGTAAGAGGTATCGTCTCTTATTTTAAGTTTAGGATGTAGAGGACAACAATGGCACGTAGACCGGATGATATTGGCTGTCGTGCTATGATATGTTTTTGTTGTAATGTAATATTTAGTATCTTTATCGTAGGTGTTAAATATGTCACATTATCCATTTTGTTATATTTTACAGATGACCATTCACGAGTAGTCCTTGACAAACAGGACAAAGATCCACACTCGGACTACATTAATGCAAGCTATATCGATGTTTGTGATTTTATTTTCTATTATACTTTTTTATTAATTAATTTATATATTTATTTAATGAAATTTCTATTTTCATTAACACAAACCTTAGTTCGTTGCTCGGCATGTCCATAATTGTCTCACCAGAAATATTACAAATTGCAAAGTATTTCAATTTTGAATGTTCTTAGCATTTTTAGATATCCTACCTGACTTTGTATTATTCTGTCTTCTTCTTTATATATATATCAGATAGGGTCTTAGATTTCGGAAATCGTGTACCTCATGATGTAATATTTTAAATCTATACTACCTGTATCTACATGTCATTTACAGTTGATTTATAGCAATGCCAATGTAAAATAAGTTAGCATGGTAAAAGATACAGATACCATCAGTGTAAGGCTGCAGATGTTTAATCATGTAACTGTTCAAATGAAGAATCCAAAATGTGGGCTACGAAATGACATCATAAGGTGATAGTTCGTACACGTACAGTTCATTTACTTTTCAGAGTGTCACGCTACCAGCTGAGTATATAGCAACACAAGGTAAATTGAATTATGATTCCACACATTAATAATTGAAGAATTATTTTCAAAGCTCAGCAGTGTTCCATTGCCAAAAATGCATCGTCTTAATACAACAAAAGTGTTTCATTACAAATAATGAATTGTTTAAATACACAAAAAGAGGTATTTTAACATTATCTCACCTTTACAGGACCAACAAACAAAACCGTAGATGATCTGTGGCGTATGATCTGGCAACTGAAATCTGGCAAAATCATAATGCTTACTAATCTGTCTGAGGGACCAAAGGTAAAAAGCATGGCGATGAACTTTCAAAATTTGTTTTGAATCTTGTAAATAGTCTACAATCAAAACCTTCCACACGGTAATAGCCAAACTACTTTTAAACAACGATTAATATCGCATTAATATCAAAGCAATACGATAAGCTTCAAAAGTATATTGGACATGCTTAGTAATTAGTTACATGTGATTTCACATATCCATTGTTATCACGCTACAGTCGTGCTTTAAAAAATATATTTCAATGTCAGAAAAAGTGTGTGAAATACTGGCCTGACGAAGGACAACCGATGTCTACAAAACATTTCGAGATCGTCTTAGACAGAGAAAGGGTCTACGCCTTCTATGTCATCCGGGATATCATTCTCACAGAAAAGAAGGTAATTTTAGTACGAGGTTTTCTTCCCAAGACCTATCAGAACACGATTCGAACATTCACTCATTCAATCATATTACATTGTGTAATTCCAGTTTATCATTTTTGTTTATTAGATGAGCATTTGATGTATGACCTCAACATTTAACGTTTTCCTATTATGAATAACAAAAAAAGACCCATGATTATACCCTATCATGTAAAACAAAGCAAAAGAAATTAAATTTAGAACAATTAATACAGGAAGAAATAATATTTATATCTGCCTTTCTAAAAGTCCTTCGTTTCAATCATCCTAGAATAAAGGAGCTAATGAGTCTAAAAGTCCTTCGTTTCAATCATCCTAGTATAAAGGAGCTAATGAGTTAACGTCACATGTTCAAATTTCATTATATAAAACTAACGATATTTTCAGACCAAATCAGTGCGACAAGTACACCAGTTTCACTACACCACGTGGCCAGACCACGGAACCCCAAACCCCAACGAACTTGTCGTGTTCAATCGCCGAGTGAAGCTTTACAAGAATTCCTTACCAGGAAAGATGGTTGTCCATTGCAGGTGCATTTGTTTATTTTGCGTTGGCCGTAGGGTTTTTCTTGAAAAATGAATTCTAGTTTGTATCACAGTAACTTGCAACAACTAATCATTTTTCCTATAACCATTTACAAAATATTTGAATCTGCACTGTCGACTTTCATTGTGGTCGAAGTGTAAAATAATTTCGTCTAATTTTTTGTTAGCGGATAATCGTTCTTGAATTATCAATTACTCACATTGATTGGCACCGGGTATCACTAAATAATGATATTCACAATAGCGTGTTTAGCAATATATAATCTTCTTATATAGTTCTAGTATCCTAACTGTGATTTTTTTACTTACAGTGCCGGTATCGGGCGAACAGGAACGTTCATTGCGCTGGATGCTTTGTTGGATTACGGCAAAGAATCTGGAATGGTCGACATCATAGGTTACATTAGAACCATGAGGAAGGACAGGGTCAATATGGTTCAAACCATTGTAAGTCGTAAAAATTACAAAAAAACTACCAATTCATTTTTGTGCACATTAATGATTGATATAAGGCATTGAATTAACATTTTTTCTAATATATACAGAAGCTTTTTCAAATTCAGAATCATGGGTGATCTCTTAATCTCGGATACAATCGAACCACAATTAATATGATCGTTCGATTATTTAAATTAACTAAACTAAGGTTGAGAAGAAAATAAAATAACGAAAATGCAGATAATCCTTTTTTATAAGTAACGAATGGTTCGAAGTTGTATTCAATACCATTGTTGCATTTAGGATCAGTATATTGCTCTGCACAACATCCTGATTGAGGCGTTTGACATGCCAGACACCCTTTTACCCAGAGTGGAGTACCATGCAGCACTGAACAGACTGTCGGATGATGTCCCAGTTAACCAAACGAAATTATGGCAGGAATACCAGGTAACATTTTCATTTAATCAAACATCTGAGTTGTAGATATCGGACATTTTAAAGAAAAAGGGTCCAACAAGTGAAACTATATAATCACGATTCTTACTACTGTCAATATTTGCTTAAGTCCATTTCAAAAGGCATATTCCATATAAATCAAATGTTGCGATATATTCTACAGCATTTCAAATTGAAATGTTTTGAAATATTAATTTAGCAAACCACTTGGGGTCGAATTCGGAGTTAGAATACAGTGCTAAACCTACACTTTACCAATGTTGCCATACAGAAGCACATCATTATGACCGGGTTATTACAGTAACTCTAAGCATGAAAACCACCCAAGTACTGCCTCATTTTCTATATAGAGGGGAGGTTACTCGAGAGTAAATAAAATCGGAATAAAACCCTCCCCAAAAATTATAAATAATGCAGTGGTACCCTTTCCTCTGATCATATAATAATATTTCAGAATGTTATATTTTAATGTTTATCTTTATTACAGAGCAAAATATCAATTTTAGAGGAAGATAACTTTTCAATGCTCACATATATTAGACAAGTGTTAAAACTCTCTACTTTAAAAAGACTTTTTAATATTGAAAAAATTGTACTGATATGAACATATACCCTTTTCTCTCTTAACATCTTTTATTTATTAAATTGGAAAATGAACAACTGACACGTATTTTTATGTTTAAATATACCAGCTATTTTGTTAGTGTTGCCCGAATTATGTCCCTACTCCTCCTTCGCCAAATGTGAAGTAAAACACACAAAACGCACCACAAAATCAACAAACATAGACAAGATTAGAACTAAAAGTTGATCGGATAAAGGCAAGTATGTTTGCCTCTCATGGTCTGGTGTATTACACGGTTAATAAGTTCCCGCTAAATAATTACAATTCTGACAATGATAACAAAAATAAGATATAGTCAGCGTTAATAAAAGTATGTCCTGTCAAACAATGCTCTATCTAAAGGTAATGCTCCAAAAGCTGAATAGGCTTACATTGACGTCAACACTACATGAAAACAGTGTTGTGCAGGGAAACCACTTCATCAGTATATCTTATTGTATAATTAACGTGAAACAAATCTGACGTTTTTAGTTGTTGCAAACTATGAAGCCAACATATACCAAAGTCGACTATAAAGCAGCACTCCTTCCCGCCAACCGCAACAAGAACAAGGATCCGAAAGTCTTAGCAGGTAAGCTGTTTATACAGTTGTATAAATATTCAATAAATGATTTAGCTACGTCGCACGTTACGTTTATAACATGAAAACATTTGATAACATTAATTTTTTATTTATCTATGGATTTGATATTATTTATTTTTATCCTTTTTTTATTTATTTATTTTTCATTTTTTATTTATTTTCTATTTTATTATTTATTTAATTGACTTATAATTATTTATCGATTGATATTTATGTATATCATTTTGTTTACAGTTGACAAATTCAGAGCATACCTGACGTCATCATTATCCGACAGAACAGATTATATCAACGCTGTGGCTGTTCCTGTAAATATTTGTTATTCTTGCCTTTTCAAAGCGCCAGTGTTTTTAACAACTAACGACGTGAACAACAATAATAAACAAACATGACTTTTTATACAAGACCACGTAACAATTAGGATAATAGAAATTATATCATGAATATGTTATTGTGTGCATGACCCAAAGATTCGTCGTCTTATTTTAAAATATACCATGAGAATCTGTTGCTGTTGAGAACTCAAATACTTACATATGTCTTTATCAGTCTTACACGTCTCGAACCGGTTACATCATTACCCAGAGTCCTCTAGATGACACCATCGTCGATATTTTGACAATGATAATGGACAACCAGTGTGACACCATTGTTATCATCGAAAAAGACCCCGTCGTAAGTTTACGAGCTTGAAATCTTGTTGAAAGTATAACAAAATGATATCATTCCTTTCTATATATATTCCTGATATCGATATTAAAAAAAAATAAAAAAAAATTGCGTTACATTTTATAACAAAAGAAAAATATTCTCTCAATATTACATTATGTAGTAGTATACATCGTTGAAAAAAATCGAAATACACATTTTAATTATATTAAGTAATGTTAATTATTGAGATGTAATTTTGCAAATCAACTGATTATTTCATAGAAATGGTTGCCAAAGGAAGGAAAAGATAGCTCAATTGGAAAATTCACACTGAAACATTTAGGAGGCTCTTCAAATCTGGCCCATATTGATTTGATAGATATTGCGATCTCAAACCAGGTAGGACTTCAAAGCGAGCATTGTGGAGATTATTTGATAATTAAAATATAACTTTTTAAAGTGTTCATGAATATAGTCAGGTCCATGTGAAACCACCCATATCAACTTTATCATGTTTGGTATTACCTCTCTGTTAGCGCTATTTGCTTCGTTAGTATTACATCAGTATTCTGAAAGCACATTTTTGTCGGAGTATAGGTGATAAAAACAATGTGTTTGAATATCGTTGTTACCGGAAACACAGTCTGATAATATTTGCACCCAAAAAAGATGAAAATAGACATTTGTATATGTTATTTAATTAATTTGTTAATGCCTAATTAGTGAGACACTGTTTAAATAACTTCACTAAAAGTGCGTCTTTTGAATGACTATTTTAATGACGTAACAATATGATTCCAGAGTCATAAATTTGACACCAAAGTTCGGGTGTTTCGAATGACTGGTTGGGATAGAGACGTATCAGTTCCGCCAGATTCATCGGCAGTTCTTCAGCTTCTAGAACTTGTAGACAGCAGACGGAAGTCACATGACTCGAAAACGACTGTAGTCATGTGCCGGTATGTAGCGACGGTCACACAAAATGTCCATTGCTCCAAATGACACAGTTGTTCTGACTCAAACAAGCATTGCTCTTTCCGTTTTCGCCTCTACCTTTTTTGCTTCTTTAATATCCATTTCAACATTTTTTCCTGTAAACATTCTTCTAAATTTACATTAGTGAATTTGAATTAAACAAATATAAATAAGAAAAACTGATGTATACTCAGTTTTCTCGTACATGACATTATACACTTAAACAATAAATGGCAACACGTTCATCGTGTTATACAAGGAAACACGAATAGAAGTCAATGTAAGCATTAAAAATTGTAAGATGGGAAACAAAATTTACTTTGTCATAACTTTACCATACACATTATTCCTAAAAACTTCTTATTACAATACAAAAGTCAGAAAAAACGCAATATATTTTTTTCAATAAAATAAACGTTTTTGGTAACATTAAGTATATTTCGGTGAAGGTAAATTTCATCAATATTTTACATTTTTCAGGGACGGATATACACAGAGTGGGCTTTTCTGCTGTGTCAGCAATGCTAGAGACCAGATGAAAATTGACGAGGAAGTCGATATGTTTCAGATTTCTCGACAAGTTCTTGTCAGACGTCCGGAATGCATCACAAGTGTTGTGAGTACAAAGCATGTAAATTCGATGAATGACATTATTTTGTATTTCAAATTAGTGATAAGTCCCTTGATGAGATACTGGTTTCAAACGTTTAATTTTTCAAACAATTTGTATATACCAATATATTATGTACAAATACAATGATAGATGCATACAAACTACCTCCAAATATTACTTATATGCAGCGACAATGCAGGAGTGTTTTTTCCTGAAATGATTGAATAATGTTTTCGTAACAATGAGCAATTCATTAACACGAATCCCTATCAAGTGTTATCGGAAATATTTTTATTTTGAAATTATATATATATATATTGTTGATATCGATGGCATTAAGTAAAATACATTTATTAATAAAATGATTTGTAGGACCAGTACAAGTGTTGTTACAACCTGGTCAAAGAGTACTTGGACACCACAGACGTGTATGTCAACTGACAGAGGACTAATACCAGTATGATACAAACTGATCAGTGACTACTTGGAACGCAGAAGTGTAAATGTTATACAAACTTATCAAGAATTAAAAGGAAAGTGCATTTATTGGTTTTGCCTGTTGCCCGATTCCTTTTGTATCCGAAAAACCCCGTTGATATTGATTTAAACATATTTTATTTGTCATTCAACAAAAAGGATTAGGCACAAGTTATCTCAACTTAGAAACGCCCTCTCCGTTGATATGCATATGGATTAAAACTGTAGGAGTAAACCAGTACTATTAACACGTGTTAAAGACTTACATAGACAAAGTTCCAGGACCAGTAGGGCTGCTACATGATAATCAAGGAGATTTATAGTATTTAATGTGTACATGCTGCACAGTTCAGAGAGAGGTAAAACCTAGTACACATAGTTGTTGAAGTTGATCTCTCTACATCTACATGCAACTGATACAGTTGACGACCTGTGTTATTGGTTCGGTGACGTATTCTTACGTTTTCCCTGATCCTTAAACACAAGACATTTATCAATTTATTTTGTACCTGTCTTGGAAGTTGCAGCAATTGCTTTTCATATGCATACGTTAATGTGAATCACAAGTAAATTGGATAATTGATGTTAATGCCTAATACATGATTTGCTTTTATCAATCGCAAATATGCTGTTACACAATATTGTAATGCCATGCCAGATAGTACAGAGAATATTACACACGATAGTCCTTAAAGAATGCATGACCTAATGAGATATATCCACTACTCGTTATTACTTCCATCACTCCTAAACTATTATTATTGTTTATATTTTATATTTGCACATACTTAATAAAATACTTCACGCATTTATTGTCTTAATGTTATACATGGGATAAGGAACCTCGTTCAAATATGAAAACGTTCTGAAACAAATTCCCATTTCATGTCATGAGTTATCATATATTAGATAGGCGTAAATATGAAATAATTTTACTCATAAGGCGAGGTAAAGAAGCACCTTTTCTAAAATTTCATAATTAAAAAGATACAAATGATACGGCAATAGGTGAGATAAATGGCATGCTTCATACAGATGTGAAGGATGGCACAGTATGCAGAGAATATCTGATAGTGTCAAGATTAATACTTAAACTGTATATTTCGCGAGTATTGGAAAAAACAATTTTTCATCGATTTGTTTTACGAACATATCGGTGTATTCTAATTTTTGGCGCCATATTTTAATGACGTCATGCATGGCAAGATGACTACGGTCATTTTGAATGGGCTACTAAACACAGTTCTTCTACTAAACACAGTTCTTCCTTTTTTATGTAATAATCTGGTCATATTTGCTGATAAAATGTTTCAGTAGTTTAGTAAGGGAAATATCTGATCATATTTAACACAGATGAACCGAAATAGCTAACTGTTCTCCCAACGCTTCACCTTAATATAAAATTAGCTGTTGTGAATGCTGTGAATAGCAACTACATTTGTATTGGTCAATACCGAGTTACACAACCATGGCACTGTGCACTTATCTTCATTATATAACTATACATATCAAACACACATTGTATATTACAAATATACAATCATAAATATACATTTACCGGTAAGCTTTGAAATAGATCAATTTTTTTTTTTTAAAAAGCACGCATATGTTAGCTGTTATCTGACCGAAACATTCTCTTGCCTAATCCAATAAACGATATACTATTTTTGTCCAATAATTAATTGATTTCAAATAAAGCACGAACCGTATTTTACGAAAAATACTTAAGATACACTTAATTATTGTATGCCTCTGGTTAATCAAAAGCACAAAATTATCATCATTTATATAATGCAGTAAATGCAAACTTTCTACATTTAAATTCAATGTTTCGATAATTAGTATATTTCAAACTTTTCAATATCTCAAAAACTATGTCTATGTGAGACGTTTTATAAACAATATGTAACAGTTGAAAGTTGGTAAAATTATTTCTTCGATAAATTTAATCATGTTATTGCACAAAATAACTTTGTTGTACTTTGTATCAGAAAGTATGAATACCCTTGTTTAGTTTACACCACGTTTGCGTCAGTATGATACATAAATACTTTAAGTGCAGAGTAAAAAAGTGTCTGCACCTTTTTGTCCTTCCATTGAATTTTAGATTTTCTGTCAAATGATCACTCGTTGTTTGGTTATTGTTACCGGTGTTGGCCTGTTTATACACAAATACCATCAGACATTTCATGGTGCCTTATCATACAGACAGCGTTACTTTTTCATTGTAACCTTTTTTCCCCTGGCTATATATACTGACATATTGAATTTGCTGCATTTCCTCATTTGTATGAGCTGAACAAATGCTATGCTTCCCTTTTATATCTTTTGTATATGTACAAACTGTTAACAATATATCCGTTATTATCGAATAATTGGAAAACCTCACAACAAGGATCAAGGTCTGGCAACCATAATAACGAGAGCAAATTCGGGAAACCAAATAAACTGGAATAGACAGCATCGCTTAGAACTCTAATCTTAAAATCTATAATCTAAACATCAAATAGGGTGAAACAACTATACGATGTAGTGTTATTCATCTGTTGTATAATGTATCAATTACCCAATTTTAAAATGTGCAATCACTTGTGTGTATGTTAAAATTTTACTCATGCTGTAGTTCCTTTTTTGTGAATCATTATTTAACTATGTAGCTAAGTCAACATATAATAGTGTAGGCACGGTAAGTCTCGATTTGTTTTGTTTTTCTATCATTTACGCACAAATGTTTGAGTAAGATCATGCTTTAATCAGTTTCATTTTCTTTCGAAAATAAATGTCAGATACGAAGAAAAACCGTAGAAAATAAAAACTGAAAATTTACTGCAGATGTTGCTGATTTGGCTGCATATTCGTCCACATTTGATGGCGCTTAAGTTTATCAACAGACATACGTTTTGTTAGAATATCTTGTTCAGCATCACGTATGCATCTCTGGTACCAATGTGATAGTGCAGATGAACTAAGGACCGAAACTGACTTCTTATGGTTTGATTTTCGATCAGATCTCCCCTTTTCAGCGATCCATAACTGTGATATGTACAATGTTTTAGCATTGATGAAGTAAAAGTTACTTGTACAGTATTGAAGCATTCTCTCTAGAAAACTTCTTATAAAACAGATAAAAAAACAAACATTTTCCTACAATCCAAATATTACCTAAAGATTTTACTATAAAGTGTTACACCCAATTATATAATCTGAAACATTTGTATACCCCCTAGAAAATATTTTGTTTCGAGAGTTCTTAAACCGTACTTTATGTGCTAAATACTATTGTACGTCATTCAAGAAATAGTGCATCAACGAAATGATAATGGCTTTCTTGAAATGATTTTATTTTCATGAATACCACTGTCGTAGTGACATCCATTTCGAAGTACAATGTATGCAATCTACGTTTTTCGACTAACAAAGTCACTTGGGAATGTCAATATCCATTGATTTGTTTTTCTTTATAAAGTACTGAGAACATTTTTTTTAAACTAAACGAATTAACTTTTGAATGTTACTAGTATGTCCATAAAAATATAGCATCAATGTTTTTTACTAAATGAATCACTGTTACCTCTGACGTTTATCTCTGTTGTCCTTACGGCCATTTTGTATACTACAACATGTTATTAGTACATGCTTACATCCTATCTGCTTTACAGTGACTTCGCCTCACGCTACGTAATTTTCTAACATTATTTTGAGTTTTCCATACATAAACTAATTCACTATCACATGTTACCGTCCTTCCGGAAGTCTATCTCGATAACAGATCCATACAGATGGCGGCCACCAGTGATGTCATCCGTTATCTAACAAAAGGTGAAGGACACACAGTGTATGCCCTCCTGACATTTCAGAGTGCACTTTCTAATCCCAGGTAAATAATACATAGCATTGGAAGTATGAATAGTTGGGTCGGGAACCATGTTCTCACTCACTAGAATAAATAATGACCACACTATTGAAAGTTCCGTTTGTGAGACGTTCACGACGACTGGTGTGGACAGTAACCTTGTAGTGGACGGTGACGTCATATCGCTAACACCTGGTATTCCATTCGTCGACATCGGAGTGGGAGGCATGTCCGTTACTTCATCTTCAGCTGTGGATTAAAAATGACCACTATCAAAAGAATAACTCTGAAGTATATTTTTTGTCTCCACAATAAAACGATATCGAAAAGACCTGCATCATATTGGAAAATCGGATCCATTGTCTATAATTTCCAAAAAGTGTTTTGTGGAGTAGGTGGTCAAACTTAACATTACGGTCTGTAAACCACCGTAGAGATGCAGTTAATATATCATGTTTTCTTACCACAAGGGCAATTCGTATTTCATTACGTCAAAATATAATAATTACATTACAGCAAGGGTGAGTTGCTATTTGTGTCAGCTTCAGCCACCTAGAGTTCAGGGTCATTCCTCTTGCTCATATATCTATAATGGGACCAAAATAACCTAGAGAGAAACGGGACGTTTTATAAGCAAAGGATCAGTAGACTTAATGCACAATGTTAGGTAGATGAGGTATACTTACTGTTTTTGTAGTCAAATTATTCCTATTAAACTGATCAAAATGAATGTTGTTTTCTGCTGCTAAATCGTTCACATGTAGCATTGTTAACTCACCCAGATCCTTTGAGCGTATATAGTGATATCATCTGATCGTTACATGGCCTATCGTACCATTGAAGGTTATTGTTGACCTCAATTTCGACACAGTCCTGGTCAGTTGAGAACCGGGTTCCCAGTTAAGAATGGATATCGGTTCTCTATTCCATATAGTGAAGACACCTTCCCTATCCTGATCAGTGACCCCTATCCAGCTATCTTTATCCTCTTCGTCATCCACACTCGCGGCGCTAACAAGAGAACATAAAGTACAATATATAAGAATTTGTTACCAATCAGCTACTTGTTGTTATACTACAGCATGCACATAGGCCAATACAGAGAGATTAGATTAGTTTAATTATTTATTTGTGGTTATAAGTCCATCATCAAAGAAACCAGACGAAAATGCGCTTACGGAATGACGAAATTTCTAAACTCGTTGTTAACGGAATATTTTAGCCGGGACTCCGTTAAAAACACTAGTCATACAGAAAGTTTCAGTCGACATATCGATAATGAACATTCCATATATAAAACATTAGCGTATTTTAGCATTTAAAGAAATATCGTAAAAAACAAAATCACAAAAAAACATCATCGGGTCGATAATGTGGCTTATAAACTTTTGAGAAAAACTAATTAAATGTTACTAGAATGAGTAAATAATCAATTCTTATTCTAAAAAATATGTAAAGTATGTTTGCCCGAAAATGCATTATTGTCGGAAAGTAGAACACAATAGAAAGAAAATGTGTACAGTATGATAGTAGGAGGGTATTAAAAAATAGTAGAAAAGTGCTACAATGTTTACGGCATTAGGAATTATCCAAGAGTAGTAGGAAGGTTAAATTTATTATAGTAGAAAGGTACTGCATGATAGTAAGGAGGTCTTGTTTAATAGTGGAAAGGTACAATATATCATATAATAGCAGGAAGGTGAAATAGTTTTTAGAAGAAAGGAACTACATCATAGTAGGAATGTTTCGTTAAATAATAAGAAGGTGCAATATATAAAATAATAGTAGGAAGGTACAATGTATTATAGTAGAAAGATACTACATAATAGTAGAAAGGTCTTGTTTAGTAGTAGAAAGGTACTACATAATAGTAGAAAGGTCTTGATTAGTAATAGGAAGGTACAATGTATTATATAATAGTAGGAAGGTGCAATACATGTATATAAAATAATAGCAG